TAAACCGGCGGAGATATTTGCGCCGGAACATGCGCCGGAAACTAACGGTTCCGTCGGATTGTGCATTGTTTCCGGCGGATTACGTCCGCCGGTAATAACAGGTTTTCCTGTAGTGACTAGGGGTGTCAATTTCGGGTCACGGGGCAGGTTTAGGTAGAACCCGAAACTGATCCGACACTATTCGGGTCAACTCGAACCCGACTCGTTTTTTAAAACGGGTCAGTTTTTCGAACCCGAAACCGACTCGCTTCGAGTCCGAGTCAATTCGACACAACCCGAATGACCCGTTTCCAATAAAAAAATTCTAACTTTCGGGTAAAAATGGGTCAATATCATCTTTTTCGGGTAAAAAATGGGTCAAAATCGGGTCAATCTCGAGTTGTCGAGTCAAAATCGGATTTTCGGGTCAAAATCGTGTCAATTTCGAATCAAAGGGTTAACCCGAACCCGATCCAATTTTTGAAACGGGTCAAAATGTTGAACCTGAACCCGACCCGTTTCGGGTTCAGGTTGACCCTAACCCGAAATTTTTGGGTCGGATTCGAGTCGGATTTTTGAATCGTGTCAAATATTGATGTCCCTAAATCACAATTTTTTTTTATTATTATTTTGAGTAAATTAAAGCAAATTTATATGAACTACATATTTAAATTTCTAATCTAAAATCTTCCTAATCAACAAATGAAAGATGAGCTAAGGGCATCTCCAACCGAAAACTTCATTTTTCACGGCAAAGTAACGCAAAAACTTCAAAATGGCGCGGGATGCTCCAATCGAACGCCATTTTAGGAAAAACGGGTTTAAATGTTGAACCCGACCCGTTTCAGGTTCAGGTTGACCCTAACCCGAAATTTTCGGGTCTAACCCGAAATTTTCGGGTCAGGTTCGAGTCGGATTTTTGGGTCGTGTCAAATATTGACGTCCCTAAATCACAAATTTTTTTTTTTTTTGTATTTTGAGTAAATTAAAGCAAATTTATATGAACTACATATTTAATTTTCTAATCTAAAATCTTCCAAATCAACAAATGAAAGATGAGCTAACTATGGTTACTTCCACTTCAATCGGCATACCGGTGGGATTCTTAGCTTGTAAACCAGTCGAGGACAAGGACGAAAGAAAAACCTACGAGAAGCGGAAGCAGAGAAGTGCAGCAAGAATGAGCGGGAGCGCGTTTAACGCGTTCAAGGCTAGGGTTCCGGTGGCCTGGAGCCCTCGGCTGTTCATAACCCTAGTACGCGGTCTCCCTGGTACTCGCAAGCTCCACCGGAGAACCCTCGCTGCCATGCGTCTCCGCCGCTGCAACCGCACCGTCGTCCACCGCACTACCCCCTCACTCCTCGGAATGCTCAACCAAGTAGTTTCGATAGCGATCTAGTGCTTATTAACGTTGATCTCAAGCTCGATTGCTTGGCTTGGACTGATGAGCTCGATATGCAGGTGAAGAGGCTGGTGGTGGTGGAGACGGAGGAGATGCACAATACGAGGAAGCAGGAGGAGGTGGAGCGCACGGCTCTTCGTCCTCCCATTGTCGTCAAGCACGCTCCTCCCACGACTTCAACATCATCTCTGGAGGAGTAGCAGAGCGCATTGCAGGTAGTTCTTAGTTTTCTTTATGAAACTTTTCGCCAATATTGCTGATGAAAGAGTAAAATGCCTCATTGAGGTTGAGAGGTACTTAATAAGGCACGCTAGGGCTGCTAATGTTTTCTAGTCATTTTTTTTCAGTTTGAATCATCAGATTTATCCTGCTGGTTAAGAATAACTATTCTTTATAAATTTTATTGTGCACAATGCTTTCTCTATTGTAGTTGAGATAAATCTGAGCTCAGTTGTTGGCTTTGCTTAGGAATACTGATGTTCTGTTCCTTTTTATTGTTTCATGGCAATGCAGAGAATCAATCAAATAAGAAAATAGGTTATTAACATCTTCTCATTTGCCATATGGGATGGTGAGGTGGGATGAGAGGTTGGGGCAAGGCAAAATTGCTGAACTTTGAAATATACAAAATTTCTGTAATATGTGCTCTTATTCATTCTTATCTTTGCATCCACTTATCCCTTTACATAGTTTTGCTTCTTTTTATAACCACCTTGCCTCCTTTACTTTTTTTGATAGCCAACTTCTCACATTTCATCTTTTAGTGCCTCTCTCTTCAGTCGTCTTGTCCCTGCCTCATCTGATAATATATGCCTGCAACTCGACTTCCTGTCTTCTCTTCATATGCTGAAAAACCCCTTGTAGTAGGAGTTCTACCACAACTTTTTTATAAATGTCTCAATCCTGTAATGAAGAATTCAAGAGAAATTTAGGTCCCACTGCTATATATTTTAAATCACCTCCCGATCTTATTTCCTTTTTAACATCATATTCCCAAAAAATATGAAGAAAATTCATGATCATATTTTTAGCACAAAACTTTAATATTTCTTTTGATCATGATGCCATGTAAAATTTTAAGGAGAATTATGAGGCAATAAGATACTTTAGTATAATAACATTCTAGTATATAGTGCATGCAGCTTGTGCTTCATGAGCATATTTTCAATGTTTAAGAGTCGACTAAGTATAGCTGGGATATATTTTAGGAAACTATAGTTATTTTTTGTGTAATGTGTTTCCATTTCCAAGCATCCTGCTTGATGTTTGACACATCAAGGCAATCCTCCATAAGCCTCCTTGTGTCCTAGGATGGAAGGAACCAATGATCAGCCTGGGACTTGTGTTTTTTTATATTGTGTTTCAACTTACTCCTATATGGTAGATTGATGTAGAACGGGTTGGACGGCAAAAATCTGAAACAATGGACTTCAGAAATCTGAAATTAGCTTCAGATTTTTATTCAAAACCTGAGAGAAAAATCAGGTTTTTATTCAAAACCTGAGAGAAAAATCAGGTTTTTATTCAAAACCTGAGAGAAAAATCAGGTTTTTATTCAAAACCTGAGAGAAAAATCAGGTTTTTATTCAAAACCTGAGAGAAAAATCAGGTTTTTATTCAAAACCTGAGAGAAAAATCAGGTTTCAGGGATTAGGAGAAAAGGTGTTCGTCGGACAGCAGTAGATGTATTGTATTTGGGTTATGTTAAAAAAGGTAGGGATAGACCTAAAAAGTCTTGGCTAGAAAATATTAGAAATGACCTTTTATTAAATTTAAATGAGAATTTGACTCTTAACAAGAGACAATGGAGTAAAAGGATTCTTGTAGTTGATCCTACGTAGTGGGACAAAGGCTTGATGTTGTTGATTTTATCTAATGTATATGTTTCTTCTTGATGTTTTTAGTAATTTATAAACTAAATTATTTTTTATAATCTAGATTCTTGGATTGGTATTTTTATTATTAAATATATGTAAGACATAGTAATTTGGATTTTTCTAGGCTATATTTTTATTTCTCAAGTGAAATGTTTGGGCTTTTAAAATGTATATGTTCATCATCGTTGGCCTGTCATGTTTAATCAAAAGCTTATTCATATTAATCTAAATGAAAAAAGAAATAATTTTATCAGATCCCATGGCTTACTTATTTGGTTAAACATAATTTCATACTTTAAATGATAGAACCAATCTCCATCGTTGTGAATATCCCTTCTATGAGAATTGAGAAAAAAGTCATTATAATTGGGGAAGTAGTGTTATACGGCATAATACTCAATATTATAGAAAATAATGTTAATGGGTTTTCAACTTTCTACTTCATTCCAAGATTAAATGTTTAATCATTAAACATAATTGTGTGCATGTTGCATTTATTAATGATTATAATAAATACCTTTGACATTAAATTATTGAGTTAATGTTGTATTTGTAAATAAAATAGAGGAACCGTGATAGGAATTTTATTTAATGTCTGGTAAGAGTTGAATATTTCTCAATCTTCTTAACTTGCCTTTTTATCTCATGGTTTCATTTATATGAAAGAGCAAATATTAGAAGATTTAATTATTTTACTTCTTCTCCAATCGTAAGTTTCCTTTTACAAAAAAAATTCTTTGCCTAGGCCCCTTTTGCCTCTATAAGATTCCATGATGGAAGTGAAACGCTTGCTATTGAAAAATCCAGAAGATTTAATTATTTTGCTTATAAATTATTGTGAATTTAATTGATTTTAATTTGAGATTTTAATATTTTTCATGTAATCTATTGTAAATTAATTGGTTTTAATTATATTTACTATTCTCTTGTCTATGTTCAAAGCAAAATACTTGAAATTGGAAATGCAAATTTCAATTTTGAATATCCTTCCATAAACACTAAACCAATTAATCTTCTTAACAGGCTCTTCAATTTCTATATAGCATATGCGAGCAAAAACATCGAAACTTCATAAATTAAAATTTCCTCCTCTTCTAAGTAGCATTGTCACTTATCATATATATTATGGGTAGTTCTTAACATCTTTATTTTGATATATCATTGACTATGTCCTTATTTTTTGTCAATTTCTTGCAATTTGATTCTACTTGTTTAGCGATTTATTTCTCATAAATGATAAATTTAAATCCGCTGTAGTTTATATCTATATTTTATTAATTCATATGTAAAATTTTAATCAAAGAAATATGATTCAGCTTCATTTATTCTTTGATCCAGAAAATTTAAATTTTTTATTAACATTATTATCATTATCATTATTTTTTCTTTTAGTGAAATTCAGGATTTTTTTATTTGTTAGCATTGGACTACTTTATAATTAGTATTTATTGTGCTAAGACATTGTTGATGCGAAGAGTAAGGATGGGTTAAATGTGAACATTGAATTGAAAAACCTTTGGAATCAGTTATAATTTTGAAAAAAATTTGTTTTTGTTGGCATTAAAAATTATATAATTATTTGCTTATAAAATTAATATTTTGTTGCGGGCCCTTTATTTGATTAATATTTTATAACATATTAGTTGAATATTGATAAATTTTCTATAAAAACATAATTAATCTAAGTTCATAACTGATAGTTTATCTTGTGATAGATTGATATGGAAGTGGAGAAAATGTATTGATATATTGCATCTATTCTTATTGTAGAATTATTTGTGATAATAAACTTATAAAATAAATATATTATTTCATAAATAATATAATTAATTGATTTTTTACTTTACTAAGTTTTTATTCATTTTTAAAATCCTATCAACATGCATGAGTTGCCTATGCATTTAAACTAGTATGTATGTATATGTATATGTGTGTGTGCGTGTGTAGATAACAAAGAAGAAAGCATGTTTTTGTCGCCTCGCAAACACGTCACCATTTATTCACCATTAATTTTGCCTTCATGCGTGCAAGTATGATAATGCAACTCAAAAAAAATTCCTAAAATGCTGTTTATGACATGTTTGGAAACGAGCGGATTTTATGGATACTTTTCTTAGCGTGTTAAGGGGAACTCATCAGTGATGTTCGGAATGCAGTGGATAAATGTCTAAAACACCATTTGCGATGTGTTTTGTGTGGCGAGCATAACCCGTGCACGGTGTAATGCATGCAAGTATGATAATGCAACTCTAAAAGAATTCTTAAGATCCTGTTTATGATATGTTTGGAAACGAGCGGATTTTATGGATACTTTTCTTAGCATGTTAAGGGGAACTCATCAGTGATGTTCGTAATGCTGTGGATAAATGTCTAAAACCCCATTTGCGATGTGTTTTGTGTGCGAGCATAACCCATGCACGGTTTTCTTAGCATGGCAAAGGAAACTCATAGGTGACATTTACGACGTATTGGGCAGGCTTGTGCGTTAGCATGACAAGAAAATTCTCATTTTTGTAAATTCTATCATGCAAATATCTCATGCACGTCTTTCTTGGCACGGTGGGTTGTGAAAATTCCAACGTTATATAATAGGACACCTTGCATGCATACTTTTTCTTGTCGTGATGGGCAAGCAAAGGCTTCTCATAGATTCACCCTACGTGGGAGAGATTTCAGATGTTTCCAAGTATTATGAAAGCATGCAAAATAATCAAATCTTGGCATTGTCAAGTCATACGTGTGCACACGTGGAGACTTTCAAATTTTAATAATTTATAGAAATAAGTGAATGGATCTATGGCCCATTGGTTGGAAGGGAAAGTTTGTTTCTCTAAGAAAATGAATTCAAACTATATATTTTATGATTAATCGCCCGTCTTTCTAAAAACATTTACATGAATAAAGCCAACCACTTCAGGTTTGAGTAACCATATTGCAGTTAGGTTGCTTAGGTGTGTTTGATATACTTTTTCTTCTTTTTGTAGTTATTATGTTTTTATTTCTATGTATTTTCTCTTTTATTTTAAAGTGTAACCCACTACCACAGTCACTACCATAACTATTTAAGCCTTTTTGCATTTGTTTGGAAGCTCTCTCTTTTTGTTCCTTCCCTGAATGCATCACTCTTACATGTTGCAATTTGTGATATTGTCAAGAAAGAATGAGCGGCTTCTATTGAGCCTCGAATTTGAGATGTTGTAACCTTTTAAGCTTCTACATTTCATCGATTTTTCAAAAAAAATCGAGAATTTTCTTGATATAGTTACATTAACTAGAAATTTTCTTTTACTGATAATTTCTGTGTAACTGTATTGGAAACTTTATCAAACTCAGA